CGGAAAGTGCTCGCTGCATCATTCAACCCTGCACGTTCTGACTGCCAGTGCGCGCCCATCGTCTCACGTTCCGGCTACTTTTGGTTGGTTGGCGTGCATGCCGATACGGAAAAATTAACGAAAGATTTTAGTGAGTCTCACTTCAACGCGGACCTGAGCCGATGGTCACAAGAGGAATCGTAAACTAAATAATTAAGGTTGGGCGACGTCGGCCCCAGCAGGAGGTTCCACAAAATCCAATGATCCACTAAGACCATGTACGAGGAAGAGAATACCGTAGGAATTCATCTTGTGTGCAGCAGAGAAATGCCCGCCCACTCGCTCCTTTGAATCACCATTGCGATGCGAGGACCAATAGTTTTATGGGATTTTATCACAAACAGATTCATACCCGAGAGTGTACAAATGACCCGTGGTGCTGTCTTGCGAACGTTGGCCGGCGCTGCGGTAGCGGCTCCTCAAAAATCCCCACTTCCGCAGACACGCATATATATATGTGAAACGGCATGCCATTGGCATTTACATGCGTTCCAATCTCATATGACTTACAAACATAGTTCTTATCACCATGCGCCGAGATCGCCGCCCTGTGGTAATACACGATAGCATTGCTCTGACGACACGATCGGAAATTTCGGGACGGTGTGCGCCCACACAAAACAACCACAAGAGTGACTTGGCATAAATCAATCCGCCATCCATGAATCCCGTTCCGTTTTACTCCGCGTCGCTTAACATGACGCCAACAGGTGTCTTCAGCTCGATACACGGCAGACAAGATGATGGTGGAGCCGAAGCATCTCCTTGTCGCCATGATGGCCGTCCTGTCCATCGGCCACGCATCTGGCCAGTGTGCCAGTGCGCTCTACGTGTTCTGGGGTCCGTGTACCAACTCGACGTGTGAATCGGCTCAGCTGTATTTCCCGATCCAATGGGAGGCAGACGTGAGTGGTGGGATGCATGAATCACGACGCCACATGGGTCTACTCGGTGGCGTGGCAGATATTGCAGAGTACTATCCTGCGCGAGTAGAAAAAAAAATGCCTGTGCAGTGCGTTGCGTCCAACCCGATCGTAACAGTCGATTTCACGGCACCTATCGTGAACAGCGGTGTTGCCTCGGCCACAATCGAGGGCAACTTGACCACCGTATACGGCGAGGTATCGGATGATCAGTTGAGCGTAACGTTCGGCATGGGCGAATCTGGTGTAGATCCAAGCTCCTACGATTCAGGTTGGTCCGGGTTTCTGGTTAGTCTCGACAACTGCGACACTTCCTACACCTGGAGCGACAACTTCTTCGAGGTGTCCTACGTCGACGACGAGCAAAACACGATCGACCTGTCCGCCTTTGAAGACCCTGACATCGAGATCCCTGACACCGGCATATGTCGTGAGTACGGTTCAGGGGATGGCGCCAACTCAAACACCGAATGAGAAACGAATAGGTCGCCTGCAATGCCATTGTTGTTACACTGCTCGAACATGACTTCCTGATCGGAGGGGGGGAGGAGAGAGGTTGCGCAGCCGATGGGAAGGGGGTCGACTTTATAGTGTTCCAGCCGTTCCATGGTTCACCGTCTGTGCCTGCAACTTCGATCACGGCAACATTATACAAACGAAACATCGACCTGTAGGGTAGTCTGCCTCCTCCCCACTTTAGATGGACATGCCTTTGTCGTTCCATTCTCCTCTGTCCTGGCAGCCACTCCTAGCCCGGTCACGCCGTCACCAGCCACACTAGCACCTGGCACTGCTGCTAGCCCCACGGAAGCAGGCTCCTCGCTCGCACTTGGGTGCTACGAGGATGACCCCGAAGACCGTATCATGGACAACCTCGCTCTTTCCGACTCGTCGATGACAACCGAGGTGAATAAATATCGGAAGATGCTACTTGGCCTCACTCCGACATTTGGTCGAATGCTTGTTGCATTGTGTCAAGACGAGCGCAGAGGCGTTCCAGAAGCTTTGCTCATCGACACGGCATATGTGTGGCGGTTTCCTCCTAGCGAGACCGTCAAGAATCTGCCATCACGTTAGAAATTGAACCATCCCAAGGTCTGGGGTAAAGCCATCAATGCACGTAGACGAGGTGGCCTTGTGTAGGCATGCCAAAATGTCACCACGCAGGTGTTTCGCAGTTGCTGGTCGTAAACAAACGCTCCGTGTGTTCAAGTCAATCACTGGCTCACATCCCCGCATGCGTCGTGGGAGACCGGCGTCACGTGAGATTGCTATAGGAACGCATATGTAACTATCCTGGGTCTCATGACGTTTTCTGATTGAGACAAATGCACTTAGTACGCATGAAGGATCATCTCTACGGTCGTAGATTAACATCCGAATTCGGACATTGTACACCCCTACACTCGTTGAGCTGGCGCGTAAAACGTGTCCGAGGCTACCCCGTTGATCCAGTCTTCCATTCTGTCAACAACGTGCTAAAATGCACGTCCGCTCGTTTGCTTTACGCGTTCCTTCTCCTACTGGCCATATTGTACGGTGGCGTTATTCTGACATCAGCTGTGCGAGCTGACATGCCTCGGAAGCACCTACTTTGCCACACAATATCGACGAGAGGTGAGTTACGGCCGATGCCGCTGAAACTATGTCGAAGGTCGCGTTCCAGTGACGAATTTTTGGAGACACAACGTTGAAACTGTTCTTTCAGATCATCTTTATCTCCCGCGAAATTCACGAAGGTTCAGGACACTCATCAGTTCCCCAGGATATTGTTACACGCTTTCTCTCCCGAGCGACGGTCGACGTGTACCATTCTTGACCCTCCCCCCTTGGACGCGTTTCGTGTCTACTTTCAGACACCACGACCTCCGGGGGAAGGAAGCCAATACACAACGAGGTGCCGAGTAGAGTCTAAACCGGTTGTGAATGTGGGAATAACAATAGCGACAGCGGCAAGGAGCGGGTATCGCCTAGAAAATTAGTAAAACCAACTGAGCCCCCGAATGTCGGAGGAGCGGGGTGAATGACGTGCAAAGTATGTCAGAAGGGTATCATGAGAGCTTGAAATCGAGCAGTGTGTGCCGTGTTTCACGTGCATGTCCATGGACGAAGTGCTGAGGTGGTATAGGTAAATCGCCGTTGTTTTCGCGTTCCCGAAGACATCAGTCCCCACACGTGCTGTTTCATCAAGTCATCAAACGAAAAGGATTACAAGCTTCTACACGTCGGGCTGGCTCTGTGGTCGAGCTTTCCTCGTCTCTACCGGAACCTACCCTGTCGCCTCCGCCAACCAGTGTTCTCGACCGAACCCCCCACCCCGCTCTTTTGCTTACGTTACCTCCACCTAATACCGCGAACACGCGCACAGTGCTGGTGCGGTTCGTCTGATGCGGACTACGCTCTACACGGGGAGTCCACCGGCTGCACCTACGCCTGCTCAGGGGACTCTGCCCAAACGTGCGGCGGGTACAACGCCGCCAACGTCTACCTCTACCCGGTTGACAGCACGCCCAGCCCCACTCCTAGCCCCACGGAAGAAGACTCCTCTCTTGCGCTTGGGTGCTACGGGGATGATCCCGAAGCCCGTATCATGGACGAGCTCGTTCTTTCGGACTCCTCCATGACAACCGAGGTGATTGGGATGTTGGAGGATATTGTTTGGTCCCACTCCGTACAGTAGTCGGTTGTATCTTGGTTTGTGTAACGACAAAGAACTGCCCAGGCATGCCGCGTCATGCGTAAATGACATCCCAAGATGTGGTCATCACGTGAATAATGGAACCACTCGAGATTTTTCGTTGCAAGGGGTACCGACACACCAAGTAAATATAGGTCAGGTTGATCGAGTCGGACGGTTTCCACGTTTCGACTGGTAGGTCTTTTGCAGGTGCTGGTCGTGCGCACAATGCTCCCGTGTGTATCACTCACTTACATCCCGGCATACGTGGTAGGAGGCTGAGATCATGTGAGATTTTTACGAGAGTGTGCATTCTCTGCATGTGTTGCCTTGGGTCTCATGATGTTGAGTAATGGAGAGGAAATGGGTCCAACGGCAGGCAGAAAAAAGACCAGCGCTATTGCCCTACATGAAGACGCTTATTTGCTCATTGTGCACCTCTAGTCGCTGAGACGGTGCATCAAACGTTTCCCACGCCATACCGTTGATCTATTGTGTTTCTATTCTGTCTGCAACTTGCTGCAATTTCTTGTCCTCCGTGTCGTATTGTGCCGTGGCGTCAATCGGGCATCAGCTGTGCGAGCTGACATGCGAAGGAAGCACCTACTTCGCCACACAATACGGACGAGAGGTGAGTTACGGCCGATAGCGTAGAGTGATGCGCTGAAGCCATATCGAAAGGTTTGGCCAAGGCCTAGTGACGAACGTTTCAGAAGCACACGTTGAAACCGCTGTAGAGAGGTGAGTTCATAGAGTCTTGTTCTCCGGCGACATTTCCGAAGGCCCAGTAGACACACCAACAACCCTGAATGAGCCTTTTGCACGCTTCCTATTTTCGAGCGACGGTGGAGTTGCACCATTCTTGGTCCTCTACCCTTTGGCGTGTTCCGTTTTCACGTTCTCACATTGCGACCACCGAAGAACAGCCAATACACAAGAAGGCATTAAATACAGTGGAGCATACCTTAAATTCTACAACGTGAGAAAGTGAAACATCAACATCGGGCAATTTTCGCCACGGTTCAACTGCCTGCATGCCAGTGGACGAAGCGCTGAGAATCGCCTGTGTTGACGCGTTCCAAAGGTTGAGTTCCCATTTTCAGAAGTCATCGAAAAGGATTACAAGGTTCTGTTTGTTGAGCTGTCCTTGTGGTCGAACGTTCTTCGTGTCGACCGAAATCCACTCGGGCGCCCCCGCCAACCTGCCTTCTCGATCAAATCGCCAACCCCACCCGTCTGTCCACGGAACCTCTACCTATTATCACGAACGTATGCGCAGTGCTGGTGCGGTTCGGCTGGTGCGGACTACGCTGTACACGGGGAGTCCACCGACTGCACCTACGCTTGCTCCGGGGACACTGACCAAACGTGCGGCGGGTTCGACGCCGCCAACGTCTACCGCTACCCGGATGGCAGCACTCCCAACCCCACTCCTAGCCCCACGGAAGCAGCCTCCTTCGTCGCACTTGGGTGCTACGAGGATGACCGCGAAGACCGCATCATGGACGAGCTCGTTCTTTCGGACCCCTCCATGACAACCGAGGTGATTCCAATGTTGTGGATTTTCCTTGGTATCACTCGGTATTGTATTGCAATCACTTCTTGGATTGAGTGAGCAGGAAAAATGCAGAGGCATGCCTGCGCCGTTGCTCATCGACACAGTGTACATGTGACGGTTTTCTCTAACGTCGGGCGGTTCTCGTTAGTTGAGGTATATGCATCATTCCAAGTAGACGAGGGTCGGCGTTGCTGCTGAGCTTCTTTACGTATACCAAACAGTTTCCACCTTCCGGCTGTTATGTGGTTTGCACTGGTCGTAGGCAAAATGCTCCGCTTGGCGACGGTTGTCGCTCATGCTCATCCCCTTATCCGTCGTAGGAGCCGACTTCATGTGAGATTGTTTTGGGAACGCCCAGTCTCTGATCGGGTTGCCCTGGGTCTCATGATGCTGTGACACGCGAAAAATGGCAGATAAGGACGTCCTAAATGAAGAGCCGTAGTTGGGCATTGTGCACGTCTTTGTCGCTGAGGCGGTGTGTGAAGTGTGTCCCAAGCAATCCCGTTTATCACTTTCTCTCTACACCGCGTTCACAACGCACGTCCGCGTGTTGTTTAATTGCTGCACTTCTCCTCCTTGCTATATTGTACCGTGGCGATATTCTGACATCAGCTGTGCGAGCTGACATGCCTCGGAAACACCTACTTCGCCACTCAGTACGGAAGCGAGGTAAGTTAAGGCCGATAGCGTAGCGCCGTGCGGTGAAACCTTCTCGAAGGCTTCGGTTTGGCGACGAATGTTTCAGAGGCACAAGTTGAAACCGCTGTGCAAGCATGATTTTGAGAACAAGGAACGTTTCAGAGGCACACGTTGCAACCGCTGTGCATGCATGATTTTGAGATCACCTGTTCTCCTGCGACCTTGCCGAGGGTTCAGTAGACACGTAATTTTTCAAGGAGCCTCCTGCACGTTTTCGAAGAACGGTTGCCGATGTGGAAAAAGAGAACGGCGACAATGGCAAGCGACGTGCACTGCTTAAAGGAGCAGTGAAAACATTTGAAGACATTGATCCCGAAATGCCGGGAGAGTGGGGTAAATGATGGAATACATGTCAGGTATGCCATGTTTCAGGTTTTTGTCGATGGGTGTAGTTCTGAGATCGATCGTGTTGGTGGATCTCTTGCTGGTCCTAAGCGGGTTGTGTTGAATGTGCACCGCAGTATCCATCGAAATACAAACTTATGAAATTCGGGCTGGCCGTGTGGTCGAGTTTTCCTCGTCTCTACCAGCCCCTTGTGTCTGTTGCCTCTGCTCAACGCATTCTTGACCAGATCCCTCACCCTTACCACAATGAAAACACGCACAGTGCTGGTGCGGTTCGGCTGGTGCCGACTACGCTGTACACGGGGAGTCCACCATCTGCACATACGCCTGCTCAGGAGACGCTGACCAAACGTGCGGCGGGTACGACGCCGCCAACGTCTACCGCTACACGGCTGAGGGCACTCCCAGTCCTACTCCTAGCCCCACGGAAGCAGGCTCCCATCTTGCACTTGGGTGCTACGAGGACGACCGCGAAGCCCGTATCATGGACGAGCTCGTTCTTTCGGACTCCTCCATGACAACCGAGGTGATTGGAATGTTGGAGGGTTTTGTTTTGTCCCACCCCGTGTAGTAGTCGGGATGTATCTTGGTTTTTGTGAAGACGAAGAAATGCAGGTACATGATCCCATACACCTTTCCTAGTCGGCACGGCGTACGTGCGACGGAAGCCTTCAGATGAGCCCCTCAAGAATGAGTAATCACGTGGAACCGAACCTACCACGGTATTGGCATCATTCCAAGTGGACGGTCCGGGTTGCTGTCGACCTTCACTAGGTACCCTAAACAGTTCCACCTTTCGACTGTTGGTGTTTTGGAGTTGCTGGTCGCAAGCAAAACGCTCTCTGTGTTTACGGTAGTGACTCACTCACATCCCCGTATGCATCATAGAATACCGGTTAACGTGAGGTTGTTACGGAAACGCATGTGACAGTACCCTGGGTCTCATGATCTGACTGAGACAAATGCTCGTAGTGGCCAAAAAGGGCCAGCTCAACGTTTTAAATGAAGAGCCGTAGTTGCACGGTGCACGCCTGCGCCCGCTGATAGGGAACGTGAAACTTGTCCGAAGCCATCCCGTTGATACGTTCTTCAATTTACTCTGCAGCGTGCTGAAAATGCGCAACCCGCTAGTTTTTGTTGCCCCATTTCCTTCTCCTGGCCGTGTTGTGCCCTGGTGTAACTCTGAAATCAGTTGTGCGAGCAAACATGCGTCGGGAGCGCCTACTTCGCCACACAATACGGACGAGAGGTGAGTCAAGGCCGATAGCGTAGAGGCGCGCAATGACAAAAATGGAATGTCATTGTTTTGGTGACGAATGTTTCAGATGCACGGGTTGAAACCACTGTGCATGTGTGATTTCAGACCAACTTCTTCCCCTGCGACATTTCTGAAGGTTCAGCAGACACACGAGTTCCGAAGGAGCCTGTGACACGTTTTTCATCTCGAGCGACGCTCGAGTTGTACCATTCTTGGTCCTCCACCCTTTCGCGGGTTCTGCGTTCCGTTTCACACAGGGCGACCACCGGAGGAATGGCCCGTGAAGACAGTTTGAGGCAGTAGTTTTGTCCCTAAGTACGAGGGTAGTGGGGTATTTTTTCGCGACAATACGTCAATTCATGCCATCGCTGAATGACGTACATAAACGTTGCTCTGGCATCGTCTTGGCGAATCGCTGCCAAGCAGGTGTTCCGTAATTATCGCTAAACCAGCAGAACTACACACTTGACGTCGGGCTGGCCGGGCGGTTTCTGCGGTTGAGCTCTCCTTGTCTCCAACAACAGCACCTTGTGTCTGTCACCTCTGCATAAAGCATACTCGGTCAAACCTCCCTTCCCGCTCGTCTGTCTACATCACCTCTACCTGAAAAAATACAAAACGTGCACAGTGCTGGTGTGGTTCGGCTGGTGCGGACTACGCTTTGCACGGGGAGTCCACCGACTGCACCTACCCCTGCGCAGGGGACGCTGACCAAATGTGCGGTGGGTTCGACGCCGCCAACGTCTACCGCTACACGGATGGCAGCACGCCCAGCCCCACTCCTAGCCCCACGGAAGCAGGCTCCCATCTTGCACTTGGGTGCTACGAGGACGACCGCGAAGACCGCATCATGGACGAGCTCGTTCTTTCGGACTCCTCCATGACAACCGAGGTGATGACAACTTGAGGATATTATTTGGTTGCACTTTCGTCATAGATCGAATGGTTTAGGTTCTTGGAAAGACGACCGACAATCCGAGGTACGGCAATAGGGTGTTACCTGCGTGTCGACAGACGCACAACACGTTCTTCAGGCCTTTCCTCGCAATATAGCATGCTTAAGATGTGTTTTAGACCCCCAACGTGCGGTCACGTGTCGGGACTCGAACCACGGAATTCGACCTTGTTGGTTTCGGCAAACTCGGTGCTCTGTGACCTTCACCCCCATCGGCGCTGATGTACGTAGAATTCTGCCGTTGCTGACCTTGTGTCACCTTACAATACACAACATATTGTGCTGGGTCCTTCTTTTTAGGGTAAGTTAGCCTGCGACCACGGGAATCGACCGCGTCGAGTGCTGTATCAGTACGGACATACGAAGGTACTGGGTAGAGAGAGATCGGAACGGTTTTTAATGTGAAAACAACATTAACAACAACAACAACAACAACAACAACAACAACAACAACAACAACAATGTCTTGGGTCCACGGTGGTCATTCATTGACACGCCCCAGATGGTAGGCGTAATGTGGATTTGAAGTGCAACGCCGGGCCACCGCATCGATATGGCTGTCCGGCGTGGTGTTTGGTGCCCCCAACCAATGTCTTGGATGCCAATATTATGTGCTTTGTTTTTGTTGCTTGAGAGAATTCGTTCGCCCAACCACGTTTTACGTGGTGCCTGCTTCTCTTGTCTCGCTGCGTCCCATTCAAACCTCAAGTTCCTTGCTCTCTGCTCGTTGCCCTTTTCTTCCTTTGCGTGTTCGTGTGTCTGACATCAGCTGTGCGAGCTCACTTGCGTCGGTAGCACCTACTTCGCCACACAGTACGGGCAAGAGGTGAGTTCAGGCAGATGGCAGTGGCCTTTACGGCCATCCGCTTAGAATCTAGCCAGCCTGTAGCCAGCCTGTACCACCTTTGTGCGTCCTCTTGAGCATTGTTGCATTCGGTTGTACATCCTGCTTCCACTGCAGGGACAATTGTCTTGCCGATCGTACCAGCGCGGCGTACGACTTGCCGCACATGAAGCATGAAAAAGAGGTGCCGATGAACGCGGTAGGGGTGAGAATCGTACAGCCTGCCATATTTGCCATATTTCGTTGATGAAGCAAGCCCTATCGA